CGTGAATCATTTCCTGAATATAGGACTTTAAAAGAGCTTCAGACTGCCCTAGCTGGTTTGGCTCAGTGGATAGAGCATCGGCCTGCAGACTGAAGGGTCCCAGGTTTGATTCCAGTCAAGGGCATGTACCTTGGTCACGGGCACATCTCCAGTAGGGGGTGTGCAGGAGGCAGCTGATCGAGTTTCTCTCTCATCAGTGTTTCTAACTCTCTATCCTTCTCCCTTACTCTCTGTAAAAAATCAATAAAATATATTTAAAAAATAAATAAATAAAAGAGCTTCAGACCTATCCTATATAATAAAAACCCAGCGACCAAATAGTGGAATGACCAGAACAACCAGTTAACCAGTTGCTATGACATGCATTGACCACTAGGGGGTGGGGGGGTCAGTGTGCTACCACAGTGGGAGCACCGCTCAGCTGACTGGGATGAGTGGCTGCTCTCACTGCGAACCCCGGGCTGACAGGGAGGAACTCAGGCTGTGATCGTAGCCTCCTCGTCCCAGGCTCCTCTTCCTCACTCCCTGCTGCCTCCTCCGGATGGCCGGCGGACTGTATAGCACTGCTTCCGAGCTCTCAGAGCTGATCCCGGAGGCTGGGAGGTGGGTTTGTGGCCACAGTGGGACTGAGGCCTACTCCACTTCCTCTCAGTGCTATTGCCCCTGGGCCTGGCCCCAATCAGGTCCCCTAGAGAGGTGAGTGCTCCGGCTCCACAGAAGATGCCAGACCAGAGAGCGGCCAATCAGAGGGCAGGTCCACAGCCGCTCAGCTGACCTGGATGAGCAGTGCTCCCACAGCAGGCCGATCCCCGCAGGCCATGTCCCCCACCAGTGCACGATTTCCCATGCACTGGGCCTCTAGTCTGTAATAAAGGAGAAGGTCCTAGCTCTGCTAATGGTAGGATTTTTCACTATAATATTTTTGCTGTTTAATATACACAAGTGACTACAGTGTATTTTTGTATTTCTTAAACTATATAATTCTTTCAAAACACATATAATTGTCCAAAGCTGAATCTAACTCGAGACAATTATTTCAGGTGCGACATACCATTAGCTTATCTATTTTAAAGATTAGTGCCATTGTTATTTTGATATTCTCTTTCCCTTGACCAAACACAGCTAATACAACAAATAAGAGACTTTAAAATGTCTTTTTTTATGTTAAGTGTTTATGTTTCCATAGGCCTGGCATCTATCTGTTAATTTTAAGATAGTGGTTTGAGAACTTTAGAGTATATCAGAATCACTGGGATGACTGGCTAAACTCAGACTGCTGGTCCACCCACAGAGCTGTTGATTCAGTAGGTGTGGATGGAGCTGATACTCTGCATTCCTGACAAGTTCCCAAGTGAGGCTGCAGCTGCTGGCCCAGGTGGCGCACTTGAAGAACCACTGCTTTCATAGGTTCCAGTTGATTAGTGCACACCTGGGTCTTTCTGTGAGCTGAGGTTCCTCCTTCAGGCCCCAATCTGGAGCCTTAAAGGAGCAAGAGAGCTGGTTATCCCAACTGTCTCCAAAATAAGCTCTGTATGAATGAATTCCTAGGTTCTGTCACAATAATCTCAGTTCCCAAAACCCAACACATTTCCCCCCTCTTTAATGTTTCCCATTATCAGCTAATAATGGGTAAGGTCATTAGATCCAAAATGTTGTCCACACTTTGGATATCTTCCCCTCTAATCTCTGCTTTTTATTTTTCCACAAAACTCATTCCCTCTCTTACATAATATTTTTTCATATCATTTGACTTTCTACCAGTGGACGGTATTGCTAGCCTACTTGAGTATGTAGCCTATTCACTCCTGTGTTCATTCATTCCACATACATCTGTTAAAGGCCCGACATATCACAAATATGACAAGAATTTTGTATTCCTGGGCTTACATTGTCAGGAGGGAGATATAAAATAAATATAAATATAAGTATGATATATTCAGGAAGTGATGTGTAAATTGAAGAAAATGGCATAAAGTAATGGCCGAGAAAATGACTGGAAGTGAAATGTCTTAGCTACTCTGGAAACACTTCCCTGAGAGGTAACATTAAGCTGCAACAGAAATGCTGTGATGGAGGCAATAAATCAATGAATGTAGAGAAGGGCACTCCCTGCAGAGAAAGCATCAGTGCAAAAGCAGAAAGTTAGTGAACAAGTCAGCCAGGGAAATGGCTGCAGAGGAATTCTGGGGTAGGGGGTGGCAAAAGTTTTTATAAGCCATTGATAACTACATCTCTCTCTCTCTCTTCCTCTCTCTCTCTCTCTCTCACACACACACACACACACACACACACACACACACACACACACATACATCTCTGGGATACAGACTAGAAGAGTGGTATGAGTGTCAACACTTCCTCTGGCCAACAGGCATTAAAAGATCAGCATAGAGGAAAAGCTAAAGATTAACATGAGAATTAACTGTCCAGCCTTTGCAGTTGGCTGTACTAAAATGCACAGGAATCATACACAGCTCTTATTTCTTTGTGATGATGGACTCACTAAACAGCACTAGACAAAAAAAAAAAAGGCCCCACAATCTTGGTTGTGGAGCAAATGGGCTCTCCAGCCTAGCATCCCATTCCCGCCACCTGTGATCACGCCCCAAGATCCCTGAGGGGTGGTCACCCAGGTTTGTACCCATCCACAAGCAAGAAGAGCACGGCAGCCTTCCCCTCCAGCGGCTCGCTCGTGGCCACCCATGACTACTACCAGCGCCACCTGAGTTCCACTCCCAGTGACAGCTCCTCTGCCAGTGCCAAGTACCCTGAGGAAGCCACTCTCTACCACTCGGGTCTCCCCAAGGCCCACCCGGGTCACCGGTGGGCGAGCTTCTTTTCCGGGAAGTTCACTCTCTGGTTCATGGCCACCGTGTTGGAGTCCCCAGAGCACCTGGCCTCCAGCGGCACCATCACCTGTGACCTGGCTCAGGAAGCCACAAGGAAGCAGCCTGGTGGCCAGTCCTGCAAAGCCAGCCCGGGGTCCCATCCTGAGTGACCGGACTTCCAGAGGTGCTAGGCATGTTTGAGCCTTTCCCCTCCCCCTCCGTGGCTGCTCCTCACCCCACCCCATAGAGTAGGCAGGCCGCAGCAAGCAGCAGTTAGGTTCTTTTTTATATCCAAACAGCAAAGCACCAAGTAAGCTGAGAGAGCAGCGCTCTTTACTACCCAAGCCACACGCCGGCCTGCCTGACACCCCATGACTGTACCCGTGTGCCTTGCACCAAAGGACAAGCAGCCAGCTCTTGTTTCAGAATATGGATACATGGCATCTTAACCTCTTGTTCTTTTCATAATGCTGAGTTAAAGAACCACTCTACGTATTGATACAGAGTAGTGCTGGAAATGGGTACTTTTCCCACCCAATAAAGTAAAAATTCTGAGTGTAGAGGGGGCAAAATTAGGTCAGAAGTATGTCTTACAACATTATTTTACACAGATAATATTCTCGAACAGCAGTGATTCTGATAAAATTGACAAAACAGCAAACACACACACACACACACACACACACACACACACACACACCACCTACCTTTAGGCAATATGAAACAATTATGAATCAGAAATTAGCCTAAAGCAAGAGTTGTATGCTTTCAACAAACCCCTCAAGAAAAGCATCAAGCTTACTGTACCTGATCATTTGAATTACGTTTTAATCTTTATATCATTAGCCTCCAGGTACATCTGAGGGTATCGAAATTGAAAGGAATTTATCAGTCAGGGTTCTTTTTAAATAAAGAACATAAGTCTATCTTTATAATTTTGCTTTAGATCTATTAAAACTTGCTGCCATGTAACCTGAAATTTGTTAAATATTACCAGCAATGCAAACTTTTTCAGTATACAGAGTTTAAAAACTCTTGAAGTCTTCAAGTCTTGAAGTGAAATCACCTTAGTTTTTTTAAATGTTCCAAAATAATGATTATATCAAAATAAAAGTCCATTGATTTATACTGTAAAACTCCTAGGATCTCATTTATGAAATTGCTTAATACACTCCTCATTATCATATATGCTGATGGCATTACCTGTCTGCATCGACAGTCACATCGTGAACACCTCTCTGAATGGCATCCCTGGAAGTCACTGGGTCTGGAATTCGGTTCAGACTTCTAGTGTACAGGTTGAGTCCTCCATCTGTCATGTACCTGAAAATAAATGTGTGATGAATCAGCAGAAAATTAAATGAGCTCATCTGACAATTGCAGTTAATAAACAAACTGTGTTCACATTTTTCAATAATTATGCAAATATTCTCTATTATAGTTTTTTTCTACATAAACATTATACTCACCAGAAATAATTAGAATATCTTTTCAAGTTTATTAGGAAATCAGTCTTCCTTACTACAACAAGTAACTAGCCAATTACAGAACCTTCTGTTTTCCCCCTTTTGTAATCTGTATTTTGAATAGGCTTGTAAATAATATAACGCTTAGCAAAATAAAAGGAACATCATTTTATTTTTTGAAGCATTAATGGTCACAGGAGTAATGGAACATTACTAAACTTAAAATTAATTTATTTGACAAGTGGAATATATGCTACAGTTGGCCATTATCAGAAGCTAATAACCAAGATGTATCAAATGTTTAATATGTTGCCGGGAACTTTTCAAATAGTTCACATGTAATAACATTATTTATGCCCACACTAGAGATAAAAAAATAAGTAGGCACGAAAGGTTAGGACTTACACAAGGTCACTCAAACAGTCATGGCAGATTTGAGAAATGAATCTACAAAGTTTGCTCCAGGAACCATGATCTTAACCACCACACATTGCTGTCTGAACTGAAGGACCACACGGTCTGCCCATGTCCTGTCTGGGATCTATCTTGGAGGGCAGAGCCTTCCCAGCACAATTATAGCCAACAGCTATGGATGTAAGTTTGAGCCTGTGGTCCAAACACGTGGCCCCACGTGCCTGAGTGATGTGGGCTTGATAGAGTTCAGGTGCATATAGTTGAGTAGGATTGAAACCAATGAGAATGTTGTAAACATCTTGATCACGTCCTTACTTTGCCTCGTGGCATCTGTTATAAAATAAAGACACGGCTAGTGGGCGCGGGCGCTGTCCATCAGAGGAGCAGCGTCCCACCAAGACCCAGCTTTCATTCTCTTGTCTGTCTTTTCTAAGCCTTTCACCACCCCCACTCAGGGTCACTGAACCAGGCTGAACTGGCATGAGTATGCCATGGCCATGCTGGCTCCCCACATCACAGGGTCACCACTATTATTATTAGGTAATCTTGCTTGCCGGACCAAGGAGGATGAGAACAGGGTGTTTAATCTCACATTCCATGCTAAGCTAATTTTTTCCCCCTTGAGAATTGGGATGAAGACATAGTCTTTCTATGTGGATAGAGTGGATGATTACTGTGAGAGACAAACATCAATCGGTTGCCTCCCTTACACATTCAGACTAGGGACCAAAATCGCAATGTAGATATATGCCCTGATTTGGAATAAACCCACAACCTTTTGGTGTACAGGACTATGCTCTAACCAATTGAGCCACCTGGCCAGGGCACAATTAGCTATTTTTAATGACATGAATACACAGGGCTTCTCAAGTGTTTATTTCCCTTCAGTTCAGTATCATCCCTTCAATAAACACAGATAGAATTAAGAATTGTCCCCTAGAACAAATGTGCTAGCTAAGAAAACTACACTGATAATGAACGATTGCTATAAAGCTTATTTATGTTTGTAAAAAACAAACAAACAAAAACAACTCCTAGGAGAGAAATGTGTACAAGTGGACATGTAGACAATCTCACAGGATCAGTATGATGGCTCAGAGTTTACACGGGAGCCAGACTGCTTAGGTCCAAGTCCACCATTGCTTGCTTCAAAAAATGTTGAATTCTCACAATGTGGATTAAGTAATTTTCTGAGTTCTGCCTAAAGTTACTTAAACTTTAAATGCACAGAACTTTCCTTAGCATGTCGTAAGAGCTTTATAAGTGTTGGTTAGATTTACCAGCTATTTTTCTACTAGAATTCTTACATTCACTAAAAAATAACTCATATCTTGAATATAAAATTAGTGGAAGCATTAGAGTTAGGAATCTGTTGTTTACCATGTAAATCTTTTCTAAATTTTTATTTATTTATTTATTTGATTTCAGAGAAGAAGGGAGAGGGAAAGATAGAAACATCAATGATGAGAGAGAATCATCCATCAGCTGCATCCTGCACGCCCCCCACTGGGGATCAAGCCTTCAACCCAGGCATGTGCCCTGACCAGGAATCAGACTGTGACCTCCTGGCTCATAGGTTGAAACTCAACCACTGAGCAACACCAGCTGTGCTACCATGTAAGTCTTTTTAACCCAACTCAGGTAACCCACCCTTTCCAATGTTATGCATGCTTCACTCATCACAAACTTTACCAAAGGAGAAGGGAGGAGGGATCAAGGAAGAAGCAGGATTAAAATATCCACCTTTCTTTTTAAAAACTTCATTCCACAGTATTACATTTCTTTGTGTTTGAGTAATGTGACTTAAAGTAGAATTTTAGGTTATAATCTTGGCCCGACTATTTATCACTGAGACACCTGCTGATAACTTCACTTTCCACTCAATTAAAATAAGTAACTTTCCCCCAATATTCCAGGTTGTGCCTCTTCTGCTTCATAAATAAAGACTTTTTCAAAGAGACTCATTTGAAGTAAGAGGCCTTCCTATGACTAATTCCTAATTACTGGCAGATTCACATCCCCAAGTGTTTAAAGTAATTTTCAAAAGAGAAGAAAGAGATAAGCCTTTGCATGCTTCAAGGAATTTTGAACTCTCAGAATGCTGATTAATTTTCAGAGTTCTACAGTACATGAAAAAATGAAACTCCATTCCCATTTATTTCATGACATTCCTCCTGGTTACATGAGAAAAAAAATCCTAAATTAAACATTTTCATGCAGTACTGTCTTTTGTGTCTTTTGTCCATTTAATCACTAAACCATACTTGCAAAAATTGGGAACAGAAAGTTAACTCTATGACTCAACGGTTTTAAGAATTATAGCACAGGCATCTATGTGCCCTTTTTTTCTTAAGGAAAACACCATTAAATTAAAATTCCCCTGGAGTGTCTCTAGCCCTCTCTTCTTTACACCTTTTAATTATGGCTGAAACTCCAGGGTACATCCTGTGGATGCCAACAATGGCACACTATGTAACCTGTTGAGCAATGATGTACAGCACACCATGGGTGTCCCCACACAATGCCCACCAGTCATACCTAAGCTGAGACCAGGCATAACACCTGCTGACCATGTCTAGTCAGTCACCTTCTCCCCAGAGAACAGAACTCTGAGTCATTAACTTTCAGTGTCCTGTACGCTATATACCATGGAAAACAGAAAATGTATAAGACCAAGCAGGTAAAAGCCACCAGAGGAAGTTGTCATGTGGATTTGTATTATTTTTACTTAGTCTATTTTAAGCTACATATGAATGACTGCTGGTCAACATAAAACATGTGGACCACTGATGCTTATTTAAATGGACTCATTGTTGAACTCTCCAAGACTTCATTTGAAAGACTGATAAGGCACAAAAATAGAGAACAGAAGTTTGAATTGGGTTTCTACTGGAGCATGAAATAAGTAGGGACGACAATGGGAATAGCATTTTTTTCCTTCTTAGTGAATTGAGCAGAAACTGGCCAGCTCTCATGAAAGCAATGTCCTCTTCCGCATTGGCACACAGCTGAACTATTGGTCTTGGCCTGGCTTATAGTTAGATGTGGCCACACAGCTGTTCTGGATAAAGGAATGTGGATAGAAGTCACATGCACCACTTGCTGGCTTGGTACATATGAAATATTCTAACACCATGGCCCTTCCTTTCTTTGCCATCTGCCTTTTGAATATGAATGCCCAGTGACATTGGAAACATGGCTGGATAAAAGCAAAATTACCTACCGGCCACCTTAGTCTATGAAAGACTATATAGTGCACATTCCCCAACTGAAGGTCAGAAACACCAGTGAGGGTTTTATATGAAGGAGAAATGAACATTGTGTGAAGTTACTGAGATTTTGAAATTTCTTTGTTACAGGAGTTAATGTTAACTAACAGAGCCCCGTAAAATTCTTCTGAGTATAGGTATGCCTGTAATATACATTATTATATGCAGAGAGCAGTTGTTTAAGAACTACTTATCTAAGAATGTATTCACACATACACATGTCTATATATTACTATCCATTTACTGAATAAATGGGCACATATAAAACATTGTGTCTAATTAACAAGCACTGCACACACAAAGCCTAAAATGTTGCTTGATACATAGGATGAACTCAAGAAAAAATTTCAATACATGTAGGGTGTCCCCAAAAATGTATACACACACTTTGAGTAATTATAAAGGCAGTGTTTATTAAAATGCATTTCATTTTCAAAATTGAACTATCAGCTGTTAAAGTGTGTATACACTTTTTGGGACACCCTGTACATACATACACACACATCTAAGCTCATTATTCCTCTTCTCTCCCTATTCTTCTCCGAGAAGTCCTCATGTCTCCCATAATTTCTACTCTCTACTATATGAGATTACGGCCTCCATTATATCTCTAGCTTGGACACTAGTTTTGTTTTAAGTTACTTTTGCTTTATCCCCCTGTAACCATGCAGAAACCTTATTTTCTTTAATCTGGCTTTTTATTTTGATTTTTCCCCCCTTTAACTCAAACTGGCCTCATAGGTGAGGCCACCCACCCACCTCCTGACTCACCCACCTTCCTCTCCCTCCAGACAATGAGGTTCTGGTCAGCATCCAGTAGTCTTAGAAACGAGGTCTTGGGTCTGCTAACTATTGGGACAGAGTTTTCAGTCAAACTAAACATAATATCTTGGCCTCAGTTGTGTTTTAGCTCCAGAACCAGCAAAGCAGAACAATCCCACAGAACACGTCCTTGGGAAGTTGGACAGAGCATCTCCATGGCTGACATCAGAACCAAATGAAATAATCAATTACCCCTACTCTAGTACCAACTAGTCAATAGACACCACCACCCTCACTCTGTTAGTCACCATGATTAATGATTTTCCCCTATATAACCCATCCCCCAGAAGCCATCGAGGAGCCAGGTCTTTGAGCATGAGCTACCTGTGACTCCAGGCATAGTGCCATCTTCTTAATAAGTCTTTTTTTTTCGGCTGCAAACTCCTGTTCATGTCTTATTGAGCTTTGATGTGCTCAGGCAAATGGACCCCTTCAGTCCGGTAACATCCTTGTTTCCAATTCTGCAATTTTAACTGAACTTATCATCTCCTCTCTTTGCTTTCTCTCCAAAATAAAAATATCACAAGTTCTATGTGTGCCTATTTTCTTTAATGGTATCATTTTCTACTTCTTGTGATTATAAAATGGGCATCTTGTCTGAATTATCTTTCTCTCTTACTACTATACACTCATGAGCCACCCATCATTGTGTCTGCAAAATTTTCCTTTGTGATACCTCCTATATCAGTCCCTCCCCACTTCCATCCCATATTTCTGACCTTATAACTTGTATAATAGTGCCTGAAATCTATCCCCACAGTTTCTTCCCTCAATCCATTTTGCAGATTTCCCTTAAATTGGTCTTCCAAAAACCATCATCATCTTCATATTCTGCTATTATTAGGTAATCTTCTCTAAGACACAGCACTTTCCATTGTGTATAGTACAGACTTTAGACCTCTTAGGTTAATGTTACTGAGGCCTGTCACAATAGTTCCTGTCTCTCAAATATTATCTTTAAATATCTTCTGCAATCCGCACACTTTTCTTACAAATTTTCTCTTAATATATTTCTCTCCTCTCTAGCTATTTGAATCTCTCTAGGAACAGAACTAAAGTGTTTCCTTTTCTTATTCATTCCATTCTATTTCATGCCAGGATTTAGTGCTTTCTCCTTATTCTGAACTCTCAGCTCAATTTTATCTGTATGAACCTTTTGAAATTACACATTGCACTGTGGATGTCCCTTGATGTCTGAGTTAAACTGCTCCCTTGATACACCTTCTCTCTCCAGATAAGCATGTTCCGTGTGTGTAAATAAACACAGTCAATCCTCATTATCCACCAATTCCACATTTGCGAATTTGGCTCCTCACTAAAATGTGTAGCCCCCGAATCAGTACTTGCAGATCTTCCATGTCACTCACGGACATGCTCGGAGCAGCGAGAAGTCTGAGCTGCCCATGTGGACATTGCCGACGGAGGTCGAATAAGGTGACATTTTGCCTTCTTGTTGCAGCTCTCCTACTGCAAAAATAAAAGTAACCATTCACAGTCTAAATAGAGCCACTTTTTCACATTTTTGTGCCTCTATTGGAGATTTTGCTATTTAAAATGGTCCCTTAAATGTAGCGCCGAAAAGCTGTCTTGTGTGTAAGAAGGCTGTGATATGTCTTATGGAAAAATATGTCTTCCTTAAGCTTCATTCAGGTATGAGTTATACTGCTGTTGGTGTGAGTTCAATATTAATGAATCAACAAATATGTACTAAATAATAAATAAGGTTTCTTTCAACTGAAATACACATGAAACAAGATTATATATTGATCCATTGATGAAAATATTATGGCCAAAGGCTCAAAGGAAACTACATTTGTATTTCCCCTAGAGGAGTGATTCAGCATTCACTATTCATTGTTTGTGCACACTTTATAGAACATAACTACCACAAATAATGCGACTCACTGCATATGTGTGTGAGTATGTAGATATATGTATATATATGAATTATATATGTGTATATTTATGTATACAATTAAATCTTCATCCAGTGGTGAATATAAAAAGTGAATACACATATATGTCCCCATGTAAAGAACTAGAGAAAGGAAAGAGAGGAGGATTTGGGAGGGAGAGAAGAAAGAATGGAAAAGGAAGAGGGGAGATACAGAGCAGAGAAAGTTCATGACTTATCCTTATGTTGCCATCCTGTTCCCTGAACTGGATATTCCCTTCTAGGTGATGTTAAATAGTCATTTGTTATAATTATTAATGATTACAAATGTAATTATGATGATGATAAACTTATTAATCACTTATACTGTGACAAGGTTTGTGCTATGTACAATTTTGTGGGTTATTTCCTTCATTCCAAATAATTTCGTGGAGATTCTGCAATGTTATCCTTTTTACAGGTGACAAAAATGAATTTGGATAAACTAACCTCCTAAGGAGTCCACAGAGAGAAAAGTCTAGAAAGCGATTTAAATGAGGAACTCTGACTCCAGTGGCAACTCAATTACTTTCTACCTTAATTGACCATAATCTGTCTCCCTAATTATAAATCGTTAGAAACTCCGGTAAGGCAGCTACCTGGAATGCACTGGTAGCTATCAGGATATCAGAGCAGAGCTATGAATCTGATTTAATCTCTTTTGTACTTTTTAGGTCTTGTCACCCTTCAAACAAGCTTTTCAGGAATGAAGTCAGGAAGGGTTAGTCATGTAGAAGAATGATTTCTGACACTGGTCCTCTCAGATGTATAAGGATAAAGGGTAGGTCAAAACCCAGACTCACATGAAAAAATATAGTAAGGTTAATTGGGAAGCTTTTCCTTGCATTCACAGAGCCTTGGTTTTGAAGTCAGACACACCCGATTTCTAATGCCAGTCTGGTCTTTCCTTAGCATAAACAATTGGGTCTGATTAGGATCAATTTCCCTATCTGTAAAACAAGCATGTACAAAAATACCTCCTAAAGGCTGGTGGTGGAAGGTTAAATGAATCAGTATCTTTAACAACAGTGTAATAGGTAACAAGAAGTATTCAAAAGGGCAATTACAATTGTTAATAAAAGTCTATTAATAGAACTATCCTATTGCCTCCATTGAGGCTCATCACAGATTGAACTAAATATTCCAAATTGCCAAAATACTTTAAGAGTTTTATAATCACAACATTTTTTGGGGAATCTAATAGGAAAGATGAGGAAAACAGGGATTAAGAGAAAGAAGCAAATCTGATATCATCACAACAAATCGACGGAAACATTGAACTCTAAAATGATTTTCCCTCAAGTTAGATTGGAGTTGCAAAATTTAAGAGTGCTAGAAAATATGTGAACCTCAAAGCAAAGGCAGCTTTGACAAGCCCCTAAAAATCAAGCTGCTCAGCAAACGTCCTTCTGTCTCCTTCCCTTGTCCTTCTCTACAAAATCTCTTATTTAAGAAGCATGTGAAAGATCACTCTGAAAAACACAGGACACGTGTTTCTCTGAACTAAGAATAGAAAAATTTAATGGCTTGTAAGGAAAAGATTTTCTAGAAATTTTAGATACTGTACTTTTCACGAATGAGCAGAAGAGAGGACCTGAATACCCCAATACCTTAGATTTCTCACCTTTTCTAATGCCTTCGTGAACTAAGCTATACACTCTTTTTATAACCAATGCATCTGAGTGGACCACTTTTCCTCTTTACAGAGTTCTGTGAGGGAGCACCCAGGGTCACTTACCCGCTGTTGATGTCATCCGTCCTGAGACTTTTCCCCAGGATATCCCCATCACTCATATATCCACCCACATCGACTTCAGAGGACATGTCCAGGTCACTGCTTGCTTTCTCACTCATGTCAATTTGTGACATGTTTCCCAGCCGAGAGACAGCAGCTCGACGCAGAGGCGTTGTGTACATGAACCTGGAGGGGTCCGTGTGGATGAACCGACTGGTACCGCTGCGAGGATAGCCAGCGCCCAGGGAGGGAGCATCCCCCGCTTGAAGTCGGGGACACGCCTGGCCCAGCCTCCAGGTCATGGGGGTGGGACGGCTTGTCAAGTTGGGTATGGTCCTTCCATTCACTTCCGTTGTCACAGTGCTGTCAAATGTTGTCTCCAGGGTGCTGTCAAATAAAATGGAGAAACAATGGTACTATGGTTCACATGGAGCCATTGACCACGAAGGCACAAGACAGGAAAGGCCAGAATTCAGAGTCATTTCTTAGCAGAACGTTATTTTCAGGAAAGCCAAATTATACATTCATAATGAGATTCTAAACACCTCTGTAGATGTTAAATTGCGGGAGAGGGCATTCATTTGCAGTTTTTTGCTTTCAAGAGAGACCATTATTAGATTTTAGATGAAAAAAACAAAACAAAAAAACCATTGTTCCACATTCTCAACAAACACTGAATTTACCCTATTCTGGAAATTAGCTCAATGATGTTTGAAAGTCTCTCTACCACTCTTTCTCAGATGCATTTAAATAGCAACTTCCACGGGCATAAAAGTCTACTTCAAAGTGATGGTGGTAGTTTCAGTAGTGAATTCAGTTTGAATGGGAAATTACACTGAAAAAAAGGTGGATAGGAGAAAAAAAGTCCCCATGTATGTGCTGAGAAGTAACCCATTGATTGTCATGTAAAATTTGAGTGAGAAAATAGTAAAGGAAAACTAAAATTCCTTCTCTATCATTATAAGAAGTTAAGTGCCTAATGGTAATTTTTTTTTCTTTACTATATGCAGAATTGAGAAAAAAACAACACAAAAAACCTGTGGCTTATCTGGGTCCCACGGAGACTGGACATAGTCTCTTCTAAATTCTGCCTCAAGTCTGCTATGTTTTTCACTGTTCTCATTCTTCTTGTTTCAGGGTCTTCACCTAGAGAAGTAACACAATAATTCACTTGTTATTCTTGTCATTTACTGTCCTGAGAATAATTATACACATATATAAATAATATAAATTTTTTTCCTTAAAAGTAAAATGATAGATAGGAAATTCCAAATGAATAATATCACCTAAAAAGTATAATTCTTCTTTCTACAAATAAAATATGAATAGAAACAAATGTAATGTTATAAGTAATAATTCGAGGTGGAGATAATGCAATAATACTTTATAGGTCTATGACCTTAATCACTGCAAAATGAGAGAGTCATTTGGAAATGCAGTGTATACTACTCCATGTTACTGAGCTTAATTTAAAAATATGACCTTATTTAGACCCTAGTTATTTCTATAATTACCTGCTTCTAAGTGTACTCCGAATAGTTGAGACAAACTTGCCTTATGAATCAAGAACATATTTGGACTCTGAGATAAGATGATAGCATGGAAGCCTTTTCTAATAGGAACAATATCTTTTTCACCTCCTCCATTTTAATTTTAATTTTTTCTCCAGTTACAATGGCTTAGTGCTTTCTCTTAGTTCTTCCTCACCTTGTTCATTGAAACCCTGCCTGGCAGTCCTATCAGGGGAACATCCAAAGATTGCCACACTCCTTGCTTAAAGCAAAGGTAGTGTTGGGCTCATCGGCACTGTGCTGCACCTGCTTATAAGTACAGTTCTTCCTGCTTCTGCTGCACTGGAAGAGGTCAGTGTAGGTGCCGCCGGTATTGGCCATCTCTTGCTCACAGAGAGCCCCCTGGGTCATGGTGATCCTCAATTCCCTCAGCTCACCACTGACCAGTTCCTCTGCTGTCATATTGGCAACGAGGCTGGAAGCATGGCCCGCTGCAGAGGGTTCCTGGGGTCCCTGAGGTTGCTGATTCAGCTGTGCACATGGTTCCAGTACTTCATGTCTCAGCTCTTGAGTTCCTGGTAGATATCATCTTTGATTTCTGATGCCATCTTGACAGTGACTCCATAGTCCTTGTCATCTGCTGTCAAGGCCTCAGAGAGCGTCTTCACACACTGTACAGGATAGAGTCCCCGTGAGAAAGCAGGGAGCCAGGAGGAGGGAGCCCAGGTAGAGCTCAAGGGGCTGCTGGGGTGTTTTTTTGGGGGGGTCTCCACTTCTGATGTGCCATTTCATCCTTCCATCGATGGCTTTTGGGCTCTTCCCCTTGTTTTATCCTTGGAAGAGAAAGGCCTGCCTCTGGCTTCCAATTGCAAGAGTCCAGCCCATTTTCTTTTTTCTTGGCTTCTTTCCTTTCCTTTTTTTCTCCTTTGGGGAGTCTAGGGGAGTCCACTAGCCACTTCCAGTTTTTGGTGAGGACTTTGGCCAAGGACACCACCTGCTTATCTAAGTAGTGCTTAGCCCATTAATAGGGACGCTAATCCTGGTTGTCTGAGTAACTGGTGCACATCTGGCAGCTGTTCCGCTTCTTCAGAAGGTGGAGGCTCCCTTCCATGTTCATCCTAGCTACCACCTTCTCCAGCTTTGGGGCGATTCTCAGCAGCTCCTCTTCCTGGCCCATGTTGGCCCAGGGGCAGCAGCGGGGCCTCTGGGGAGGAGGCACAGAGGCAGAGGACATGCAATCTGGCCAAAACAATACCTGGTTAAGTCTTTTATTCTACTAGACTCATGGGCCAAGACTTACAGCATTGGAGAGCTGTATTTTCAATTATGTCTCCTCTTTCTACAGGGAACAAAACATACACCCACATGTGACACTAGAGTTCCAGTAATGTCATAGGCCGAACTGAAAATGTGCATAAAGCGCATGGGACAAACAGCTCCTCCAGAGTGACAGATGCAGGCCTTTCACAACCACTACTGTCATTTGGGGCAGAGGTGCCACTGAACCATTTGTTTGTGGCCATGCAATACTTCCCAGGCCAGTGGCTGTTGGAAGCTAATGTGTCTGGATAATAATATGGCAAGAGAGTAGGGAAAACAGCTTTTATTCTGTTTAATTTAGGCTCAATAAGATGTCCAATGATGAGAAAATTTAATAAGAAAGAAGAAAAGAAGGAAGGAATTCAAACAAATGGATTAAGAGGGGGAAAAGTAAAGGGAAGGAAGGGGAGGGAACAGAAAGCTGATGGAAGTAAAAGAAAAAGAGAAGGAAAAGTGAAGTTAAAAAATGGCATTCATTAAATTCCACTATGGAAACTGTCATACAGAAACTCAAGATGCATATCTATAATCTGTTGTAAGAGTATAGGTAGATATGCAACCTGTTAATTTTCTTCTACAGTATTCATGCCAGATTTTTAAAAATGCACACCAAATGTGCCGTCTAACACTTATAATCGTAGGGTGGGGATTTCAGAGACTGTCTCGCCTTATCCCTTAGCCAATGAACGAGCTCATTTCTGTCTCACTACGGAGACGGCCTGATGTCCCGGCCTGAAACTTCCAAGAGGTTTCTTCCTTCCCAGGAAAAGATTATCCTTCTGATAGTAGATCCATCTAAATGTAAAAACATCTCTAAGGACAGGAATAATTTGCCTCCCTTTAACTTCCACCCAGTGTCCCAGCGGCTCTGAAACCAACTGAACAATTTGACATGATCTTTTCCACGGCAGTCACTCACATATTAGCTCCTGCTAATTCTCCTATTTTCTTCTTCAGCCAAATATCACTACACTGTTCATTGTTCCTCTTTCTGGATGGTTGCCAAGACAACCACCATTCTGCTGCCAGTCTATAAATCTCTTCCTTTCAATTTACAAATTAGTCAAATGATTAAAATATGCTCAAAAGCATTATGATTTCAAACTTAGAAAGTACTGAAAAATTTCCCTAGAGTAGATCTATTTTTAAGAAATCGTAGAACACATGTTGTGCCCTCATGCACATGGCATAAACCTTTCCTGCTCTAATTCAAGTCACGCCATCTCTAACCTTATAGATGAACATTTGTTTAAACTCAGAACTCTAACCATATCCTCCCTGGAAATTCTTTCCACCCTTCTCTTCATAAAAATAACACAGCCTATTGGGGAGAGAGCTGGAAAGAAGTCTACCTTTGAATTCTAAATAATCTGGCAGAACCCTGAAGAAAAAGGAGTGTTTGGTAAGGAAAATCTTGAAGGGCAGAGCAACAATATCATTACATCAAAGGAAAGGCTGAGGTAAAGAAGAGATTTTATTCAAAGTGGACACAAGAAACGGTGAAGAGGCAGATTTGGAGAAGCACTAAAGCCTGTGTTCATAAGACGTCACACAGTATGGAAGCCTTTGCTTCTCAGCGAGGGTTAGAGATGAGAAGTCTTAAAGGACAGTACTGAGATGATCCTATTTTGGAGGGAGAAGGGAGTACAAGTCGCTGACCTTACACAAGGTCCTGGAATGCGCTATTATATGTTCTCTATCGCTGATACCCTTCCCTCTGGGAGAACTTTTAAGTGAATCTCAACTGCTTGCCAATTGGCATAATATTAATACATTCATATTTGAGAACGATTTTCAATATTTGTTTTGTATACACTTTAAGAATATTATATTTTCAGAGGTTCAATTTTACCAATTTTTTTTCACATTTTCATCTTTAAAAAAGTTCCTCTTCCAATCCAACAGGCATCTAAGATCCTTGGAGTCTTCCATTTGAATCCATTCCATTATTTGTTTGCATAGTTTCCCTCAGGTTTCAGAACCCTAGCCAACCCCTCTTTGGTTTGTCTCGGTATGATACCAACTCATGACACTGCACCACTGATGGACCTTTTCCTCCCAGCACTTATTGAGCAAAACATAATTGCTGCTTCATTCGTGTCATGAAAGATAGTAACCAAACTAAAATGTGTTCCAGTAGATGTTCTCAATGACCTACAAAATATAAGATATGCTTAAATGCACTTACAAACCCCCTAAAGACTGCTCAGGTCTGAAATATCCTATAAATTTGTATCCAAATAATGTCTAGAGGTATAATCCCTCCAACAGTAATGCTCCAAGGAAATTACAATTCAAAAGGTCAAATGTGAAAGCACAAATAAACTCAGTCTTTAGTTACAAAAGTTAGCAGAAAATTGCATAGGAAGAATTTACTTAGTCACAAAAATGCTGTCTCCATCTCACTTCCATAATCCCAAAGCCAAATATGATTCTTGAAGGAAGCCTTGTAAGTATCAGACCCAATAGTGAGGGCTTACACCCATTTTCCAGGACAGCATATTCTGCAACTCACTCAGAATTGTCATTGTTTGTGCAAACTGCTCTCATGCTTGTCAGGTCTCCTCTGTGAGCAGGGCACAGAAAAACAGGCTCCATTTGGTGCTTCTGCAATTTTACTTACTGGCAGACAGACCGTTTAATCTGTGTGGCCCTGCTCTTATTTTCTAGGCTTTAATTACACACATTGTAATTAACACTGCCAGCACTGTCATCTTTTAATAGGAAATCAAATTACATCTGAAAGAACCTGATTCAGAGAATGATGTCCTCTACACTATCCACATTACAAGTGTTATTATTTAGAGAACAGCTCCCTGATTTATTTTGAGAAATAACCCTAATTTTGTGGAGGACCTCAACAGTGATTTGAAATTTTTCGTCTCATCAGTTAGCTTTTAAATATATTCTTATAGAGCTATAGTATAGTCCCTAGTCTGTCTGGTTTATTAGGATATCCAAGAGTGAAGAGTTGAAACTCAAGGAACCCTGCCCAAAAATTAAGTCAGAAGAGGCCATTTTGAGCCAGAAGCAGAACCTAGTCAGTCACATGGCAGAAACCCTGAAATTCCTGTGGGCTATGGGCTTGCAAATATCCACCAACTTAACATGCATCAAGTATTTAGGGAATTGCATTGGATGCTTCATTATCCCGCTATGATTATTCATATCAGAGCTATTTGAATAAAACTCTTCCTCCTACTTTCTCATTTGCATTTTTGAGTACTGGTATAAGTGGAAAAAATGGCTTAAAGAGAATAATCCCACAAAGTCAGTAGAAGCTCACTTTAAAAACCCTGGAATACACAGATTTCT